AAGATTACAATAGCCCCCAGCAACACAGAGTTTGCCATTTACTTCGAAAAGCCTGGATCCAAAGTGAGGGTAACAGGTTGTTGCCATTTCTTCCCACTCATTCTTAGCTGGGTCGAAACATTGTAGCACTGCCTGCTTATATTTTCCTTCCGCTTGGCACATATCGCCACAGAGGACAAATATTTTTACCTTTGAATGAACTATTGACCCAAAATTGCAGGCCTGATAGGTACAATTTGTGTTCAGTTTTGCAATACTTTGCCACTGCCTTTTGGTAATGTTGTATCTTTGAGAAACCTGACCTGAATGAGAACTAATAGCATAAATATAGTCTCCTAGAACACACAGATTGTTAACTGAATATGTACGGGACGAAAACTGCTTCATCTCCCAGACATTACTCTCTGTGTCGTAACGATAAAGGGAAATATCATAACCGTAAGCTGATCCTGCTACAAACAAGTTGCAGCCAACAGAGACTGCAGAATCGCAACAACGTGCCTGGATCGACGGTACTGTCGATGGTAAAATTTTCCATGATTTGCTTTGGAAATCAAAATACTTCATTTGAACATTGGGAAGAATTGCAATGAGAGCCTGAAATGAAAGATGAACATCATCAATCAAATCTTCTACACTGGCGCGGCCCTCTGTTGGTAGTAACGATCAAAAAAGGGGACCAAACAAACTTAGTCATTTACATACTTTCTCACTCCATTACCCGTCGCTCACCCGAATTTTGTTTTTTTTTCTTCTCCCACCAACCGAGAGCTTGACATAAGCTAGATCTCTATAAAGAAAAAAAAACAGACCCTTCTTATATTGATAATTTGGGCAGCGTATCATTTTCTTTGCTTTAAAAGAACTACCCAGTTCGGGTACGGCCATATTGGTACAGTTATGGTATCACAATGACTTAATAAATAAGAGTGAGCTGATTGTATATAGCCTGGTGGTATCGAATGGTCCCATTCAATTTACGAGTGCTCGCAAAGCTTGGCCTTTGCTCGAAGTACTCGAAAAAATAACACGGGTGCTCGCTTGCTCGTGCTCGCAAGATTTTTGCAACTGCTCGCATGCTCGCATTGTCGTTAACATGTGCTCGATTGCTCGAAATTTCTTTAATCCTGCTTTGTAGTTATTTTTGATTCACATATAAACGATAAATAAGCTATGATATGGTTAAAACAAAAAGGTTGAAACATCCCTTACCTCCAGCTTCAGTCTTTCTTCAACAGTTCAGCCTGTAACTGTTCTGGAGGCGCTGTATGTATTATCGGAAAAACGCACGAAGCTCCAGGACAAGCAGTTCGCTTATTGATTTATACTTTATCATATTTCATTGTCGCAGGCTTTCTGCTTGAGAGGGGTACAGTTTCGCAGTTCAAATATGTGATCGTTCATCTATTCACTTGTTTCTTAGGTTATAACAAGTACCCAAAAGATTTCATTTCTGTTAA